TAATCTGCTGCTAATTAATTGTTCTATAAATAATTAATAACAAGCCGTTGCTCCTATCTGTCAATGGGGCCCATAAACAGCTAAGATTATTGATTTCCTAAATAAACAAAAGTGTTGAGCCCGCTAATGATTTATGACGCTTTATTGCCAGATAAGATAAGATAATCCGAAGGAGCGACAATTGCTGTGGCTGATTAAATAAAATAAAAATCTGTCAGGTTTATCAAAACGTAGGACGATTAGCAACCTAGAAGATTTATAAATTTCTTTGCTTTCATCAAATTTTGAAATCGTATGTAAGAAGTTAAAACTGTTCTTAGCGCCACAGCTAAAACTTGTTGGGAATTTTAAGAAATTTCATAAAGAAATGTTGACTCAATTATGCAAATGAAAGCCAGCCAAAATAATCAAAGTTTCACAAAGATAATCAAGTACAAATTGGTTTGAATTCTCAACTTAACATATCTATATTTATTTGGCTTAAAAATTATGAATCAATAAAATGCTCTTGAAAATAAGATCTATTTCATGATCCGATCTATATGGATGTACGACTAGCATATGTCATAGGTTAATATCTGATTGACACACACGGCATTGGCTTCGTCGAAGAAGTAATTGCCGCAGCTCCTCTCGTCCAGAGTTCGACCGTTCGAGCAGCGCAGATAGTGCCGACAGCCTTTGGTGGAGCTGAGCACAAAGGGTAGGGTGCGACCCTGGCAACGGTCCTCGGAGCAGGCCACCTTATTGGGCTCAATGCAGCTCTGAGTCTTTTTGTCAAAGAACAAATCATCATTGCACCTGCCCCAAATGGGATTCTCATCGGGCGTATTCGGTCCCTTGTCGGCACATTTGAAATAGCCGTGGCAGGTGGCACCATCGGGCACCAAGGCATTCCGCTTCGGACTCTTCGTCGTGCCGCACACATCCGCCGGCAGGGGATGGGCATCGCAGTTGACCAGAGTCTTGGCCACACACGCTCCGGTGCTCCTCTGATAGTAGCCCGATTTGCAGGTCTTGTCCTCCAGCTTGCCCTTGGTGCACACGTAGTACCGATTGCAGCCGAGCGTATTGTCAAAGTTCACGCCGTTCTTGACGATGCTGCAGTAGTCGAATTTGCTGGAGTGACACTCGGAGGCGGTGCTCCAGATACACTCCTGTATGGTCTCATCGAAGTGCGTGGCCTCCGGGCAGGTGCCATAGACAGGTGTCTCCTCGTCCATGCAGTAATAGTAGCCGAAGCACGACTTTGGATCTCTCACAAAACGAGTCGCCGCATTCTCACACGATATATTACAGTTTTCCGTCTCTGGCAATGTCTTGACACACTTCAACGTGTCCTTGTCGAAGAACGGAGTTGGACTCTTGCAGGTGCTGTAGGTGCTCTTGCCATCCACGCAGGTGATCGAGCGACTGCATGATTCCGGATCACGTATGACCGTATTATCCGAGAACACCGTGCATATATCCTCGATGCGTTGGCCCAGAGTCAAGCCGCAAAGACTCAGGGCGCAAAGGGAGAGCGCAAGGCAACTGCCGGCTGCAAATTCTAGAAAGTTCATAAACCCATCTAGAGATAGAATTCGTATAGCACCCACCTTTCATTGCTATTTAACTTCTGTTCTGTTCGCTCCGCCAACTGGCTTCAAACTGATTGGCAAACTATGTCCAACCAGGATCTATATAGCTTTGCCATGCGATAAGCCAATTGAAAGTTCTCAATTCATTATTAGAAATACCCACAGATTAGATTAACCGTATCACAGTTATAAGGCATGAACGGACCAACTCTGATTATATTTTCCTCCAGCTACCCAGATGTTTTCACTTTTTACGTAGAGCGACTAATCTCATTGATAAATCAATCTATACACTGCTTACGTTTTTTTTTTTAAGAGTATATATATCTATCTATGTATGTATGTACTATATATAATATATATGTTTAATTGACGTTCAACCCTTATCGTTTTCTGGTAGCTGTCTAAGCACTAGAAGGCTTTCCATTTTACAGCTGGCGCTTGACTTAAGCACTATTTATGATTTTTAATTGAGTCTATTGACATTTGATATGCTATAAAATAGACAAGAGCTAAAGTTAAACAGAGAACAAATGTTAAAAAAAAATTCTATAACAGATCGGAAGTGTTTTCGATAGCAATTTTAATTTTATATATTTATTATTTCATTTTGTTTCTATTATTTTTATTTTTTCTAGTTTTTTCATTTTGTTTTTATTATTATTATTTTTTTTTTTTTTTTTTTTTGGGTTTTTCTAATATTTTTTATTATTTTATAATATATATTTTCGTTTACTTTGAACATTCATCTTTAATTTGTTATGCTTTGATTTCTGTTTAGTTTTTTGAATAGGCTATAAATGATATTTTGATTAATTCATTTTACTAACTCTTTAGTTCAGCTTAAGCTAACAATAAATCAAATTTATAAATATGATTTGTTAGTTAATTTTGATTAAATGACTTGCTTAATCCGCTTCAATGCTGAACAACATATTTAGACATTTATGAGCACGATTTCAAAGTGAATTGCGGACGTATTGGTAAAAATTTAACACTTTACAAGATATATGCTTCAAGTTAGTTGAACAGTGATTAATACACTCTCTGGACTTTGTGAATAAGTATAAGAAATATTAAAAGATTCAGCAGATAATAATAATAAGAGTCAAAGCTAAACTAATTGAAAACTAAATGATTAAAGACTAGATACAAGATATATTAGAACATTTCTAGTTATATGAAATTTCCAGTCAGATTCTCTCGAGTAGAAAACACTTGCTCTATATGAAAATCACTTAGGTCTTGCTACAATTATTATCAGCTTCTTTTTCGGTCTATTCTTAAAGCACTTTTAGCTGAGCTTAATATAAAAACTAGGCTATATTTAGCTCACATGGCCATTAGTTCAACTAGTTGTTATCTATTTAATTGAAAGCCTCTTAAATGCCAAATAGCAAAACTAGATGACGAACATATATATATTTTATTTAGTAGACATTTTTGTCACAGTCTCTTAACTCTCAGAGGAGTCTTAAAGGCAATGGCCATTGACGCTCGCTCTGGCTCTGGCCTGTGCGTTATATATTTATATGGGTCAGAAATAAATAGAACTATAAAGTGACTTGGCCAAAAAAAAAAAAGGAAGAAAAAAACATGTGAAAACAAATTATTTGGCCAACTTATGTGTGCGTGTATGTGTGTGTTTTGGCCACAAAAACTAAAATGTTACGTTTGGCCATTTGTTTGGTCAGTTTATGGCTGGGCGTTTCGAGCCTCTTGCCAATTAATGATGTGCTGCGCTTTAACTTGGCCAAGACCAGAAGCCCAGGCAGCTAGCCATTGTGTGGTCGAAACGTTTGTCAATTACTTTTTAGCTGCTTTAGAAAGCTTTCAAGCAGCTGCTGCCTGCTGCCTGCTGCATATCCAGGCCAAAACTCATAAGCAAAGTTTATGCAAATGCACAAACAACTGCAAAGGGGCAGAGGGGTGCGGGTCCTGGTACAAGCCCCATTTGCTGGACACATCCGCCACTGGCCAAATAAGTCAGTTCCGCCCGCTGTCCACGCTGTGCAGCAACACACATAACGGTTCCGACACTGTTTTGTTGTGATACACACACACACACACTCACTCAGACACAGACACCCAGAGCGCGAGGTTCAATAAACTCTTTGGTGACATGACTCATGGGAACAGCAATGGCAACAGCAGAGACTCCTGCTTCTTCTTCTTCTTCTTTAGCTGCTTCTCGCTCTTCTACTATCTACATCAACTCCTTCTCATTTACTATGCACCGCACAAAAACGCTCGAAACGGCGTGAATACCAAATGCGCGCTCTTTGGGACAGTGCGTGTCATGGATCGCAGATATAGTTGGGCTCATATATATATATATGAACATATGTATGTATGTATATATGTGTGTGTGTATATATCATATGTAGGTTGGCTTAGGCACCGACAGCTGTCAGCCTTTATTGTCGCTTTGTTCTTGATGGCACGCAAACGAGCTTCAATGGCTATGACAAGAAAAAAAAAAAGCCAAAGGGGCTATATTTATGTGTTGTCTTTTGTTTAAAAAATTGCAAATTTTTATATATATTTTTATTCGAAATATATATATGTATATAGATACATGCCAACACGTCGCTTTCAAATTATGAGCAATCAAATCTAAGTCAAGAAATCATTTACAGCTAAAGAAATGAACTAGAAATTTATTTTGATTTTATTCTATTTTTTCTTAGGGAGTTGGTTTAAAATACTGAATCAAATAACAGCCAATAAATATTTAAAAAAATAAATAAAATATATATATATTTAAAAAAAAACATTTTTTAAAAACTTTTAAAGAAATTAAAAAGCTATTTTTATGTAAAAAAAATAGTATGAGAAACATAAATATTTATACAATACATATAATAAATAACAGCCAAAAAATATTTAAAAAATAAATAAAAAATATATATATTAAAAAAACATTTTTAAAAAACTTTTACAAAATTAAAAAACTTTTTTTTATGTAAAAAAAATAGTATGAGAAACATAAATATTTATACAATAAATATTCTTAATTATTTTTTCTTCAAAGCGATTTTTAGTATAAATTAAAGAAGGCAGATAAATACAAATAATTTTCTTTTGTAACTTTTTATACATTTATCAATTACATATATTTTTATTTTAATTTCCGAATTAAGTACACTAACTAAAAATTCTCAAGACCCAGACTATTAACCATTATCACTTGCTTTAGTTGCCACATAGGCAATCCCCTTATAATAAGATATGCAACTTTTTAGAAGACTTTGTTCGTCGTAATTTCAATTCAAAATTCGCAAAGTTTCGTGGCAAACAATTTCAGTTAAATTATATTGCATTTCAGCTGGCAAACTTTACAAAATATTTCGCTATGCTCTGTTTTATTTTAAACCAAAACAAACCGAAAAAAAAATTAAATAAATTTTCTTTGCACAGAATTGCGCCTGGCTTCCCGGATACGCGCACCTGTCTGCTGCATCAGAAGCTGCAGATGCTCAACGTTTGCGTGGAGCGACGCTTGCAGCGCGAGGCGTTTGGCAAGCGCAAACAACAGCAGACGAAGGTCAGCAACGTCGACGAGCAGGAGGAGGAGGAGGAGGAGGAGGACGATGGCGAGTTTTATGATTGTGATGAGGCTATCCCGAGCAGTGGTTCACCAACCAAAGCTGTGTTGAGCCTCAAGCCCGAGGGCCGTTTGAAGCGTTTGGGGCAGGAGCGTTTGCTAGATGAGACGGAAGAATATCTATATGTGCCCGAGACACAGGAGCCGGTGCCCAAGACCGAGGATCAGCTGCAGGACGATGCGGAGGTAATGCTGAAACTGGGCCCCGGCTCCGGCTTGAGCACACAAATGATGTGCACTTCCCTGCTCTCCGATATGGAGGCGTTCAAGGCGGCCAATCCACGCGGCAGAATGGAGGACTTTATACGCTGGTACAGTCCCAAGGACTGGGAGCAGGTGGTGGATGGTAAGCAGGGGAGGAGGGAGGGAATTCCAATCGTAAGAGATAATAATTGATATGCATTTTGGTTAGACAATGGCGAGAGCAGGCATCAGCTCAGCGTTCGCATGACCACCGAGGGCAATACCTGGCAAAAGGTTTGGGAACAGGCACAACCGGTGCCAGTGGCCAGACAGCGCCGGCTCTTCGATGATACGAACGAGGCGCTGAAGGTGCTGCACTATCTGGAAACGCGCAATATGAGCGAGATCTATGGCCTGACCATAATACCAACGCTGCACACGGCTATACTTAAGTTGATTGTGAGTAGAGATGGATATAACTAGATATGCATATACATGATAATCTCTCTCTCTCTCTCTCTCTCTCTCTCTCTCTGTCACTCTCAGGACATCTTTAGCAATGCCCAGGTGCAGGATATATTTGCCAGCCACATTGAGCAGCTACTAAATGACTTGTGCCGCCTCTCACGCTCCCATTCCAATGAGCTGCCTCAATTGGAGAGCCTGCTGCAGGATCTCGCCGAGCTAGAGCGTCGCTTCTATCAGTTCAAGTGCTTCGAGAGACTCGCTGGCTATCCGAAGCGCAGCAATCTGGACGAGATCAAGCGCCAGTTCGAGGAGATACTGATGAACGAGAACTGCTGCACTATTGTGGATAAGAAGCGCGGAGCTGCGGGCGATGTGCTCTGCAGCGGCGGCAGCTTGTATGATCTGCTGAGTCCCAAACTGGAGCAGGATATCTCGAGTCGATTGATCAGCAAGGATTATGTTATACGTTTGGATGGCGATGCCAAGTCGAGGGAGAAGGGTCTCTATCTGGGGCCACAATTCATGCGCGCAATTGTAACGGGCGAGAAGCTCAGACTCTGTGGAGCCTTCACTGAGAGCACAGTATTTGTCTAGGCGGACGGACGACTCAGCTGACTGAATGATATGCTATATACATATATTATATAATTATACTATACTACTATATAAACAGTCTAAAACATACTCTCGCTCTCTTAAGGTAACTAAAGTAATTCGAAGTTAAACTCATTCAATATGATCTTTGAATTTAACCATCAGAAAAGACAAACTAAACTTCTCTTCTATTGTTTTAATATTTCAATTATATTTTATAAATAACTAATAGACATTCGCTTAATATAATTAATGCTGTTTGACTGTTAAGTAAGCAAGATTTATATATTAATTGCTTATATATATATATTTCTAATTATGTTTGGTGCTGCGTTAAATTTAAGTTTTGAATTTCTAATAAATACCAGAAACAACATTTTGTATCAAATGCTCTTTTCGTGTGCAACCGCAATGTTTTCCCCCTATCAATATCAATTATAACAAGACAACATTTACACTTGAGTCTGAAATAAACACGTACACACACACACACTCACGCCCACATATAACCACATCTAATCACATAATCATGCTCGCTGCTTCTCGCTCTCTCCCTTTCTGCTCCCTTCTCTCCACTTAACTCTCGAGTGTAGCACTTAAAGCCATTTGCAAAAACTTAACTCGAATTCAAATGTAGACAGGCAAATTGCCTAGCCAGAGAGCCACAGACCCACAGAGCCACAGAGAGCGAGCGTTAAATACAAGACTATGCCCAGCGGGACAGACTCCTTGCCAGACCCAGCCCATTTGGTTTTGTGGGCCATGTTTAACTCGAAATTATTTTAAGACCGCTCCGTTGAGGCTGATACTGAGGCTGAAGCGGAGGCAACGTTTCTACCTCATGGCCAGCACATAAAGCATTTCTCTTACGTTTCCTTCCTCTTATTTCTTATTATTTTTATTTTTGTTTTCTTTCGCCTCGTAAATGCTGCGCCACTAAATTACCTACTGGCTATAATTGTTTTGTGTACATGTCGAGAGTCGGCAGTCGGGCGTTGGGAGTTGCAACTTGTAGTCGAGACTCTTCAACAGCAACTTGTGCAGCCTTGCAACATTGTGCGAGTTCCTTTCTCTCCTACAGAATGTGCACAAGTGTGGAGCCAGCATTTTGTTCAAGCATTTGCATTTATTGCAGTCGCAGGCAACACTCCAACCCAGATGCAATGCTCATTAGACTTTGTCAAGGACATAACTTTAATATATTACACATAGCGTAATTTATGAGAACTTCTTGCTTCATATTTATTGACTTTTCATACAACATAAGTGCGAAATATTAAATATTTATTTTACAGAATTTTAGCTATCATTTATCAAGGATGTTTGACCGCAAGTAACTAAAGCTTCTTTGTAAAAAAAAAGGTTTTAATTAATCTGAAAATTTCAATGTCTGTGGATTAATCAAAAGCTTTTACAATTACTAAAGCTATAAATTCTTATAATTAATTTCAAAACAAAATATTTTCATCTTCATATATATTCACTTATAAATCGATGTTTACTGCTTAGGCTACAGAGCTATAGATAAGCTCTTTAAACAATTTTATTGTTTGTATGCCGCTGTAGGTGTTTTTAATGAAGCTAAATATTAAGCTACAGACAGCTACTAATGCAAACTAATTAACATCATTGTGAGAAGCTGTTGAAAGCCACAAAGCACTTGAAAAGGCTTTACTCTTAAATTTCCTTTGAATCAATAAACTGTAATATTTTAATTCCCAAGTCAACCGAATCCCCTAAACAGGCGTAAGCTTTAAGCCTTTGTTTTAAAATTAGAGCTTTAAAGGATTTTCAGCAGCTGCTTTAAGCCACTATCATTGCCTTGAAGTGAAGCTTTTCATTTCAAATGGGCTGGCTCATGTTCACAACAATCATGCGAGCAATACGAGATTTATGGGTGCTCGTAAATAAACTTTTCACAAATGCAATCCACTTGGTAAATCAAATTGCAAATATGATAGAATATATGTTATATATATATGCACATATACACGTGAAGCATGGCGTATAATTGTGGTTGATATGCATACATATATATATACATATATATATTTCAATAATATGGTAAAAAATTAATTAAATTCTCGCAATCAATTTGGCATAAAATGGTCGCTGAATGGAAGAAGTTCATTTCCAATTGATTTGCTGCTGGTTTTTGTGGTACCTATGCACGCACACACACACACACACACACACATACACTCTATGACTGTGTGAGTGTGCGTGTGTGTGGCCAGTGCTACATTTTTGCTGATGCAGTTGAATTTTAATGAAAGCGACTTTGCTTCTTTTTTTCTCCTACGGAAAATTGAATTATAGCAGACAGTGAAAGAAAGAGGGAGAGAGTGCTCTGTCTCACTCACAAGAGAGAGTCTGTGTGTGTGCGAGTGAGCAGCAAAAGTTGTTGAGATTTTCAATTTCTATTGAACTTCTATTGAACTCCGGCGGGCGCATTGAAAAGTAGCTGTGAATAAAAATGAATGGGATATTTTCTGCCACAGCAACTCAGATGGACTTAAAGAACTTTTCTTCTCTTGCTCTGTCTCCCTCTCTCTCTCTCTTTCTCTTTTTGGCTCTCTCTATTCCTTTCTTTCCTACTTGTAATATGACATTGAGTTTCAAGGGATTATTGCTTTTGTGCACATGAATTATTCAGCGATAGTTGACTATCGCAATCATAACTCATATCGAATATATATATATATATTCACAGATCTAATTGCGTGAAATGAATAACGCAGCGAGTCGAAAACTCGTAAAAAGAAAAATCTCGTTTCTCCCTCTTTTTTGTTATTTTTTTCTATTTTTTGTCTATTTCTTTTGGGTTCTCTTGACAATGGCGCCGTTAAAATCAACTGTGGGAAGCGCGCTGCACGAATTTGCATACTCATCATCATAAAGCGGAACATAAGAGGGACAAAAATGACTAGACTCAAGTGAACTGAACGCAGATTATAAGTTTCATAACTCAATAATTAAAAGTAAACCCAACAGAAGAGCTATTAAAACAAGTAGCAGTTCAGTCGTGACGCATATATACGACTAGCCGATGCACTATAAAAATTTTAAAGTAAGTTTACGGTAAGGCGAGAGCAGAGGCTGAACCTCGAATGAGACTGGCTTGAACAATATGATGTTGGAATTTCTTATAAGATCGTTTGATCTACATATGTATATACCTATACTTATAATAGAAAGAAAGAAAATAATAATAAATTTACGAATAAATTTTGTTTAATGTTTTCCTATATTTCACGAATTTAAAATTATATTAAACTAAAATTTGAAGAGGCTTAACAAAGTATAATATTTATTTATTATTATTTTTTTTTAATATTTTTTAAATGAATTTTGATAGCTTCATCAAACATCATTCGCTGTTCAGGCAGTATAACAATATTTTTCATAAAAATTCCAGCTTCAGATCATTTCAGAAATTACTCCACCGCAATATACCCGTTTGCCACACTTTCAATAGTTAAAGGGTATCATTATTAGCAGCAGCTCAAAGTGAAGATTAAATAAGCGACAACGAAAAAAAAAATGAAAAAACACCAACAAATTGTGCACTTTTTAATGGCTCTTAGAGCTAAGGTTAGCACCGTTAAATTGAGTGTTGTAAAGTTTGGCTTGGTTTCGTATTTTCTACGGTTTTTTTTATTTTTATTTTTATTATCTTCGTGTTACACGTTCGCTGATTAGAGTTGTCAGCGGCAGCTGTCTTAAAACCAATCTTAAGCAGCTTATTATAAATTTGCTGTATGCATAAATAAACACGGTGTCTTTGCTCTATCTCACTCATTCTCTCTCTCTCCCCCTCTCTCTCTCTCTCTGTCTCTGTGCGTATGTAATTTACGAGCTTTGGGGTGTGCCACGATGATGTTCAAGTATCCCAAAAAAAAAAAAATGAAGTACACATAAAATATTTCAACAAGGTTGAATAATAACTCGTCTTGCAGTTAACACTCGAGTGCCAGGGCGAAGTGATTGCAAATACTTGTAATTGAAGATACCAATTGTGTTTGCCAGCAATTAGCGCCGTCATCTCGCTCTTCCCCACTCACCCTCTCTCTTTCGCTCTTCGTGAGTGTGTGCGTATGCTTACGTATACTTAATTTTTGTGTGGGCTATCGACTGCGCCCGCATCTCAATCGTCTCATTTGGCCCATTCACATTTAAATTTAAATTCAACTTGTGACAACATCCGCTTAGGCAAGCAACCAACCTGCTGTCATTTTCATATTTGGCATTTGGCTTTGAGCTAATTAAAGCGTTTGCTGACTCATATTTATTCTTTTTCGAAGACCGTTTCAACATTTACTTAAAGCATCTTCGTCTTGCTACGCTTCGCTTCATCCCATTCATTTATCATTCTCCCCATTGAGCAGCAATCAATAATAATAATAAGAACTGCGGCTGTTTTCAATGCCAAAAATTCTAGGAAATAATTATGACAGCTTTGGTGTGGTTTTAAGCTTTCATTGTGCAACTAAATTGTTTTCCTAAGCGACTAAAATTTATGGGAAGCACAAGCGAAAGAGTGCTTAATATAAGAGGTTTACAGTTCAAAAGGTGATCTAAAGCATACCTGAGTTTTTGTAAATTAAATTTGTTTGATACATTTTTAATCAATAATTTCCTTTACCTAAAAAACAAGATATTAATGTGAAAAGCCAATTCAGTGTGATCTAGCCAAGTTTAAGTTTTCAGCTAGATAAGAACTTGATTAAATTACGTCTTAAAAAAGTCCAAGAGCATGCAGCAAACGCTTTAATATACTCTCAATAAAAATACTATTAATTTTCAAGCAAGCTTTTAAGTTTTTCAAAAAAGCTTCAATGCTTCTTACACAAGAAGAAGAAGAAGCAGAAGCTCTAGAGTAAGCAACAAAAGTTTACAAACAGTTTCTATGCTTTAATATTAACTCTGAGGCAAGCTTTGAGGCTTTTCAACAGAGCTTCTGATTAATCCTAAGGTAAGACTGAATGAAAAGAAGTTAAGAAGAATAAGAAAATAAAATAATATTAAAACTTAAACTTAAGTTCGATGTTTTCAAGAACGCTTTAATCAAAGCTGATTTATCCTACACAACAAATGGTTGACAAGGTAACAAAAGGTAGTATTCGAAATATTGAGTAATATTACTGATA